ATCTATCTATCTATCTATCTATCTATCTATCTATCTATCTATCTATCTATCTATCTATCTATCTATCTATCTATCTATCTATCTATCTATCTATCTATCTATCTATCTATCTATCTATCTATCTATCTATCTATCTATCTATCTATCTACTATCTATCTATCTATCTATCTATCTATCTATCTATCTATCTATCTATCTATCTATCTATCTATCTATCTATCTATCTATCTATCTATCTATCTATCTATCTATCTATCTATCTATCTATCTATCTATCTGTCTATCTATCTGTCTATCTATCGGTCTATCTACCTGTCTATCTATCTGTCTATCTATCTGTCTGTCTGTCGGTCGGTCGGTCGGTCGGTCGGTCGTCGGTCGGTCGGTCGGTCGGTCGACGGTCGGTCGGTCGGTCGACGGTCTGTCTGTCTGTCTGTCTGTCTGTCTGTCTGTCTGTCTGTCTGTCTGTCTGTCTGTCTGTCCATCCATCCATTTATCTCTGTTTATCTGTCTGTTTATCTGTCTGCATACATGTCTATTCCTAGAGAATAATTAGCTGATAAAATGGCAATGACCAGCCTATCACAGAATGCCATATAAATGGATTGTTCTTGTCCCTTGACTATCCTATAGTAATGTTTGCAGTTGTTTCTGTCTAATTAATCTGCATTTGAACGCGTAAATTCACCGGCCGTAAACTCAGGCAGAAAGTTCTAGTTTTTCGTCCACCTCCGAACTTTAGTCGTGTTCCAGAACCTGAGTGTTATGTGCACATCCTGTAAATTAATCTGACTTATTTGTATGCAGATACAGACTCTTGGTTTCTTACCTATCAAGCAGATGTACTCCAACCTCGAAGGATGCCCCCAGTTAGTCGACTCTTATGACATGTTTTTAGGAAGCAGTGGGTCTAATCTTGTTCTCCTCCAGAATGGGACCCAGAGCCCATACGGAATGTGGATCAGCTAATTAACTCCCTCAGTCTATGTCGGTCAAATGTACTGGACCGAATGTTTCTATATTCAAGGCTTGTTTTTTTTTCGGCCAAGATCTGTCTGTATTCACGTTTTTCTAGGCCATCCTCTTCTACTCCTTCCCTCTACAGAGTCCACAAGAATCTTTCAAGAGAGGTCAGGAGATCTTTGTACATGTCTCTTTCCGTTGCACTTTCTGTATGTTTCACATAACCTTTTCTTTCAATGTAACTGTTACGCTAAGACAGTGGCTCCCAACTGGTGGTGCGGCCCCCCCCCCCCCCTTTTTTTGGGTACCTAGGTGGATGAAACTATTTTAAAGGGTATGTAATGTCATTCAGGGACACACACCAACCTCTTTTGTGTGACTCTTTCATAGATTTACTCTGGTTTTGAAATATGTAATTATACTGTGAAAAAAAAAAAAAAAAAAAAAAAATACGCTTAATTCTCCTTTGACCAGATTCTATTTATTGACGCTAAACCCGTACGCCTAAAATGTATCCATCACCCAGATGCAGCAGAACTCATTTGTTTTACGTAAACCGTAAGATATTTTTAAATGCCATTTGAACAGTATTACCTTTTAAATTGTACAGATTTTCAGTGTCAAAATTATGAGAAGGCTAAGTTGTACCCCCCCCCCCCCCCGATTTCCACCCCCGAATCTATGCGTTTTGTTGTCGTTGAGTAGTACATTAAAAAGTCGAGCCGCCGCTGAGTAAAGGCTAGAGGGTCGCCTGCAAATCAGAGAGTGGTGAGTTCGAGTCCAAACAGAATCGGACCTTTTTCTCTTCTCCCAGAAATGACACTGGCTCCAGGTGGATCAAGCCTTAAATGTGTATCAGTTGAAGTCCTGGTAAATAAAGGAAGCCTGTTGATGCTGACAATATCATTCAACACAGTAGCAAATGTTCTCCTAAATATTGGTCACTTTTCTTAAAATTTTCATTAAAAAAAAAATTATCGTTTGGATATTAAAAAGTACGCGGTCCAAGGCAAGTATTGAAAATTAGGATGGGTTAGATCATCTCTAAATGGGAGCCACTGCAGAAAAAAAAAAAAAAAAAACGCAAGCTGAACTGTCCCACCTAGCGATATTTGTATAAGAAAACAAAAGAGGTGCCGGTACTCGCTATAAAATGTTCCAAATAAAAGGTGACTGTACTCACCACAGAATGTATTACAGTTTTGCTAAAAAGAACGAATACCTCAACAACAACAACAACAACAAAATTGCCGGTACTGTGCGCCCCACTAGGAGGCAGAAAAAAAGCACTAGTCTTACCTGTGAAAAATATATCTCCCAGCCAGAGGAAGGTAAAGTCCTGACTCCATTATTGGTCAGCAGAATTTCAGACTGATACAACTTCTGGTTGAAGTAGCTGTTTTCCAGCAGCGTAAAATTGAGCTGGATGTTCCGTGAAAAGTGGTCCAGATCATCCTGGGATATGGCTGCACAATGGAGACGTGTGTGTATGTTACACCTGTCGTTATCACATGCAATTTGCTTACAGTTTTAACGCAGGGTAATTTGCGATAATTGTAAAATAGAAATGTAAAATAAAAAATACGGAAACGGACAATACATTGCTCAATTTATTGCAGGACATATTTCAGGGTATCTTGTCGAGTTCGTTACTCCAGAGTTACATCGACTTATGGTGAAGCACCAAAACGGAAAAAATTCCACTAAAACGAAATGCTTGTTCTCGATAGTTGCTGAAAGTTCACTCTAGTCACGTGAATTTTTATGGTTACTTCACATTGAATATGAATTCCGTCTACTCACATAAGAGTGGTTTGTTAATTGTTACTGTTAAAGCTTCAGCCAGTCTCAGCATTCGCATGTTTGGTGTGTGGTAAATCACACAGAATTCACAGTCTTTGTCAATTACATGTCTGTGATCAAGCAAATGACGTCCTTGAGTCCGCATTGTTTAAATTTATAACAGGTCAACATTGTTTTGAACAAAAAAGGTAGTTTCTTTGTCAACAGGAGAGTTGGGCAAAGATGCATGCTATCACCGTTCCTTTCTTCAGCCTGACTACTGACAAGCTGATAAAGGAAACTACACAAGATAAATCAGAGGTATCAGATGGTCAGCTACCTCAGTTCTGAGTATTTGACTATGCAAATAGCATCAGACTTATGTTAAGCTGCTACGTGGATGCTCAGGAAAAAAAAATCTAAAGATCTTCGACATTAACCTTTCAGATGGACAAGATAAACCCAAGAAAGACTTAAATAATGAGAAATAGTCAATAGGACAACTAAAGAAATGAGAAATAATCATAAAATAGAAATCTAAGAAAAACTAAAGTATTGAGAAATAATCATAAAATAAAAAAGAAAAAAAAAGAGAAAATAGCATAAAATAATCATGAAAACTATTGAAATCTAATAAAAATCTGAAAAAAAAAAAAGACTAAAAAATGTAATAGAAATACATGAGAAATAATAATCATAAAATAAAAATCTGAAAAAAAAAAGACTAAAGCAATGAGAAAATAGCATAAAATGGAAATACATGAAAAACTAAAGTATTGCAAAATAATCGTAAAATTGAAATCCAAGAAAAACTAAAGTAAGGAGAAATAATCAGAAAATGGCAATTCACGAAAAACTAAAGTAATGAGAAACAATCATTAAAATTTAAATTCAAGAGAAACTAAAGTAATGAGAAATAATCATAAAATGGATGTCTGAGAAAAACTAAAGTAATGAGAAAAATCATAAAATAGAAGTTCAAAATAGAACTTAAACTGGAAGTCTAAGAAACAGTAAAGTAATGTGAAATAATCATGAACCGAAATCTAAGAAAAACTAAAGTAATGAGAAATAATAATAAAATGGAAGTTGAAATAAAACCTAAACTGGAAGTCAAAAAAAAAAAAAAAAAAAAAAACTTTAATAGTGAGAAATAATCACAAAACCGAAATCTAAAAAAACCTAAAGTAATGTGAAATAATCATAAAATCGAAATCAAAGAAAAACTAATGTTATGATAAATAATCATAAAATGGAAATTCACGACAAACTGAAGTAATTAGAAATAATCGTAAAATGGCAAACCAAGAAAAACTAAAGTAAAGAGAAATAATCCTAAAATAGAAATCTATATAACAAATTATATAATTATAATCAACCTTTACAGGTCGCTGTTATTATAAATATGATTTAGTATTGTGTCTATGGGTATTATGGGCACAAAATAAACAATTTACCTTATGCTGATGACACGGTCTTGACAGCAACAAGTCAGAAAGAACTACAGGAAATGATAGACATTGTGGTGTTAGAAAGTGGAAGAATGGGCCTCAGTATGAATAATGGGAAGACAGAAGTAATGGTGGTATCAAAGAAACGCATTATTCCTAAGTGTGTAATAAAAGTTGATGGTGTTATGTTAGGACAAGTACAGAAATTTAAGTATCTGGGCACATAGATAACATCAGATGGAAGATGCATAACTGAGATAAGAAATAGAATAAAAGTAAAGTAAAAAAGTAAAGTTCCCTTTTCACGCCTTTCGGCGCATCGGGCAGCAGGCAAAAACTGCATTTTATAAAATGAAAAACATCTTGTGCAATATATTCTTGTCATTGAGAGTTAGAAAAAGAATTCTCGCTTGCTACATAAATCCAGTTTTAACATATGGCTGTGAATCCTGGACAATCGGTAGGCAGGCCAAACAATTTTTTGAGGCCTCAGAGATGTGGTTTTACAGAAGAATGCTTATAATACCTTGAACAGCCAAAAAGAGCAACCAAGAGGTTCTGAAAGAGGCGGGAGCCCGAAGACAACTTATCACAGACATCAGAAGGAGACAGTCATCATTTTTCGGCCATATTATGAGAAGAGGGAAAATAGAACATGTGGTGACCACTGGAAATATATGTGGAAGGAGAGATAGAGGAAGACAACGAGAGAAGATGCTTGACAGTCTTGTTGCATGGCATTGAGGTGTGTCGGCACACGAACTGATACATGCTGCAGGAGATAGCAGATTATAGAGAGGCATGATCGCCCACGCCAGTCGGAAAGGCACCTGATGATTAGTATTATGTCTACACAGTGGGCGCCCTTTCATTAGTCGTGGTATAATATTGTAGATGACTTGGTAAAGATAATTAGCTGAACTCGGTTATCCGATATATCCGATATATGATAAGATATACTTACAATGTAAACTAAATAAAACACACCATTGTTAATATGTTTAACATACCATAGAATAAATTATTTTATATATTTTTAGTGCACTTGTTAATTTTATATAAGTTAAGTTATAGAAAGCTAATATATAAAAGTGTGTTTTTTTTAATGTGTTTTTATTTTTTAAAAATCGTATTACCGTCCGCCTGTGACGTTCCTGGTTAGCTAGAAACCTTAATGTTCTTCAATAGTGAAAGTAAAGGAAAGTGCCCTTTTCCACCCCTCAATGCATACCGGGCATATAGGGCTAGACCTATATTTTATAGATGCATCGGCACTCAGCGGGTGATCTAGTCAACATTACGCTGACCGCCTTTACTTCCCTGGACTATACCTGGGTACAATTTTGTTATTAGTGATTGTGGTAATCTAAAGCTGACTATTGCTCGTTTGGATTGACGGACTGTTTTGCGATATTTTTATAAATTTAATTATTAGGTTGTCATAAGCTGTTTGTTACAATATCGTTCTTAATTACCGATTGCCTGTCCTCTCCTCTCCAGAGACACAGATGGAGAAGCTGTACTGCTATACCAGCCAAGTCGGTCCACGCCATGAGTGGAGAGAAAAGCCGCGAACATCAACAAGACCAGGATAGACACACCGACCAGGCATTTCTTGAACCTCAATATCCGTCTGAACATGGCAGCTACATAGCGAGGATGTAATACGTGCTGGCATTTCTCTTGAACGTTCCTAATTTCTTGCATCAGCTCGTCCAAGTCGCGAACGGACATTGGTGTTACTGGTATCTTTAACTGCGATGACTATTTACAATACTATAGTCATTGTTGGTCACATTTCGTGGCAGGCCGACTTAACCATTGTCGATCGCCACTTCCGCTTGATTGGTAAAAACAAAATCCTCAATAATATCCAGTTGCGTTCATTTTGTGTGGCTGGACCATACATAGAGTGATTGCGTCATTTTCTAAATTAGTTTTGAGCTAAAGGCAATTCTCAGTATTAATTGAAAAGATTCAAAGTATATATGAACATTTTAAAATGTTAAAAGGAATCTAAATATATATTTATTTTTTAAAAGCAAAGAGGAATTACCAGAAAGAAGATTTAAAAATAAACAGAGTTGAATGAATAAGGAAATTTTAGTACTGATGGACAGAAGGAAACAAAGTAGAAACCACAAAGACGAAAAGGATAAGAAAAATAAATAAAAAATAATTATAAAAGTGTCAACGCAAAAGAAAATTGGTTAAATGAACAGCGCAATAAAATTAGATCAAATTATATTAAGAATACATAAACGAATTGACAGGAAGAAAACTACGAGTAAATACGGGGTGTTTAAAATTAAATACAGGAAAGGTTTTATTTAAAAAAAAAGGAAAATCGTAAAGCTTTGGGATGAAAATATAAGATAATTATATAATGGAGAAAGAGAAGAATAAATTGAGGAATGTTGCATAAACCTAGAGTAATAGATCAATACTGAAAAAGGATGGCATTGATATCATCACACATTTAAAGAAAGGCAAATCACTTGGACCAGATGAAATAACAGTGGAAGAATTAAAAGTCCTGGGTGAATTTGGAGTAAAGGTGCTGACTAAAATGTTGAATGATATTTAAACACCGAATACCCATCTGCAGACATACTTAGGTCAGTATTTTTAGCTTTACCTAAGACGCCAAGGGTTTTGGATTTAAAGGATTTTCAAACAATCAACCTTATAAATCATGACACTGAACATGTGTAAGAATTGTAATAAGAAAAACGAAAAACAATCCACATGAGGAATCGTACCAGCAGAAACCAAAAAATGTCTGGTGAGTTCACTGGTCCTGTCCGAGGAGAAATAAATAATCTTATAATCTTTTAAAAAACCACTTAAAATGTACATGAACTGAGATCTGCATTTGTGCTTTATTGCACAGAAAGCATATAAAGCATTTGATAAAGTGAAACACTAAGAAATTATTATAATTTTGGAAACCTTAAACATTGATGATAAAGATCTGAGAATAATAAAAAACATATACTGGCAACAAGAAGCAGCCGTAATGATCGACAACCAAGCTGGAATTTTTCAAAACATTAAACAAGGCGTTAGACAGGGATGTGTGCTGTTACCCGATTTATTCAATTTTTACAGTGAAGTAATAATTAAATCTATACGTGGTATGCCAGGAATAGCGGTTGGTGGGCATATTGTTAACAACCTGCGATAGACTGACGATATAGTTTAAATCGCTGAAAATGAAACACAACTGCAAGAAATAATGGATATAATTGCAAACAGAAAGTGA